GTCCTCTGCAAGAGCAATATTTGCTCCTAATCTCTGCTCCGTCTCTCCAGCCCCACACCCTATTTTTGAACAAGAGAGAATTTAATTCTTGTTTGTTTTCAAGTCCGAACTCTAAGATCAAAGTTAAGAAAAGAGAAAGTCTCCTGTTACATCCTTTTTATGTGCATCCTTAACCCCCAGGATGAGATACCAACAAGTGATGATAATGAAGTGGGAACACGTGTGAAGTGGGAAATGACAGATTAGTTCTTGTCTGTTGTTCCTTTGAAAGCAACACAATATTAACCGATCACCAAATCCTCCCAACAGCACAAGGGTTCATTGATGGATAGGGAATAAAGAAAATGTAGGGGCTGGGAATGATGGAGTGAGGGGGAGGGGCATCTGCTATAACAATAAGCACTGGGAACATTCTTCAAAGTCAAACAAAGCAGTAATAAAACAAAAGCAAAAGATAAACCTTCCCCAGTCCCACTCCTGCGAAGTACCTAGAGCAGTCGGCTTACAGAGACTTCAGGAAAGAGAACTGAAGGGCAGAGGGAAGGCAGCCTCCATTTCAGCTGGGGAACATCAAGAGTTCTGGGTACAAAGGGTGGTGATGGTCACGTGCCGGGAACGTATGTAGTTACACATTCTGTAAATTTCAAAGGGGAGCAAATGGCAAGTTTTATTTTATGTCTACTTTACTTCAATTTTAAAAATTCAAAAGGAAAAACAGAAGTGGCCACAGAAGAATGACTTCCTACGCACCCCTGAGGAGGTGCACAGCCTGGAGCTTCAGGTTGCTGGACCTAGAAACACCCAGACACGACTTTTAGAGTAAACCTTGGGCTAAAAGCCAAAAATACTAATAATAATTAAAGTCAAGTTTTTCATACCTACCCCATTAACAGACTTTCTCATATTCCAGATTTGGCTTATAAATTGTTTCATTTAGCAAGGTCTTGCTGAATAATCCGGGCGGTGCTGGAATTTCAGGTCTTCATGCCTCAGCCTCCTGAAGGCTGGGGTCACTGGCCTGTTACCTCCACATCCAGCCACGGATGTAATTTTTAAAAAGGTTCCCTGGAGGGACAGCTCTGCTGGTTTCTCCTGAGGTGTGCCTCCTTCAGTGCTGAGCTGGGAGACATTAAGCATGGTCCCTTGAGCTCTGCATCCTCTCGACAGGAGCTAACAGGGAAAGGGTCAGGACTAGGCTCATGGCTGCTGTGGGGCTCCTAGGCTCATGGCTGCTGCAGGGCTCCTCACCAGAACAAACACTGTGACTCCTTGGGTCTTTTCCAGAACACTTGCAGCTGCTGTTGCATACCTGCGTTCGTTCATCTTACCGTATCGTTGTCCTGAAATCCTACAGTTCTGTTTTCACTTATTCCTGTCATAATTCCACAGAGAGGAACTCCTTCCATCAGTCACTGGATTCTGTTTATCGTTTTTCAAACTAATAGGTCCAGCCCCCAATGTTCTCCGGGGTTGATCAATTCAATTTTTATGATTTGCTTATGAGCTCACGATTTTAAACATGTTTAATGTGTCTCAATCCATTGCATGTACTTTCCTCTGTGATACTCAGCTGTCTGAGCTCCAGCTACAAGGGCTTTTTAAAGTCAGCTTCTGAGTCCCTTGGACAGGCTGTCATTAAGCATTCATGATTTTTTTTTTCTTGCTGTCTGTCTGACAATTTGTTGTGGGCCAGGAACCAGGCAAATCTCTAAAGGTTATTGGCTGCTTTTACTGGGAAATGTTAGCCTAAGATTGTCCACCTGGCTGCTAGAAATAGTTATCAACACTGGGTTGGTGACTGTTTCTCGGTGTTTTCAGTAGATAGTACTCGGATTTTTAAAACATAAAATACATGATCAACGCAAAGCATGTGCTTTCCATTCGGATCTCGAGCACGGCCTTTGCCCCGCCCCTCTGTCTTCTTTCTCCCACGCTGAGCCTGGTTCCAACAACGCTGAAGACAAAATCTGAATTTTACGTGATTAGTTATTTATTTTACATCACAGTTCATATCCTATTGTCTTAGCATATTAAAATCAGCCTCTACAAGTAATATTGCTAGGAAGAGTTTAAATATATTTTGAGTATTTTTCTCTTGATGTGTAAAACACATTAGAATTACATAATCATATTACTGTATATTACTGGTTTCTGAAGCTCCCTGGCATAGTCTCCTAAGTAGTTTGGGGGTTTGTTTGTTTGTGGATTGTTTTTTAACAGCTGGGGATCTATCCTGGTCCTAATGTGCTAGGCAAATGCCCTCCCACTGAGCTGTGCCCAATCTCACAATTAGTAGTTTTTAAAATGTGCTCTTTAAAAATACAAGCAGACAGGTTAAGATCAGAACTTGTTTTGTTTTTTAAAGAAATACTCAAAGTGGAAATTAAAAACAAAAACAAAACCTTATCCAATCAAGTTGACATGAAAAAGAACAGCCATATTTTTCTAGAAGTAGCTGCAGTATTAACCCTGATTGTCCGTGTGGCTAGACTGAGGACGCCTAAGAGACCGGAAGCTCAACCACTGGGTGTGTCATGGTGGGGGAAGGGGCAATTTCCAGAGACCTGAGATCCAGAGAGCTCTGCCCTAACAAACTGTCTAAAAATCAGGTAGAGTATTGGGCTCAATGGAACTGTGGGGAGTATGGCCTGGCTGGAGGAAGTGTGTCTTTGAAGGGTATATATTGCCCTTGCCCCTTCCTGAGTCTTTTTCTGCTTCCTGTCCATCATGCAGTGAGAAACCTTTCCTACATACTTCTGCCACCACGATGTTCCTTACTCTGGACCCAGAATCCACTGAGCCAACAACCACGATGTTCCTTACTCTGGACCCAGAATCCACTGAGCCAACAACCACAATGTTCCTTACTCTGGACCCAGAATCCACTGAGCCAACAACCATGGACGGAGATATCTAAAGTGTAACCTAGATAAGTAATTCTTCCCATTAAATTGTTTTGACCAAGTACTTTTCACAGTGATGTGAAGTCTGACTAATACAGTAACATAAGAAGTCTAATAATTAAAATCGAGAAAATATTTTAGAAATAGAGGGAGAAAAACATATCCCAAAATATGGCAGGAGAGAAAGAAATTCACAAGATCAACTCAAGGGACTGAATCAGTTGAAATTACAAGGGGATTAGAGAAAATAAGGGAGAAATCATCAGAGAACTTTCTAGAACTGAAGGACATGTTTTTAGTTTTCATGCCCATCAAAATGCCCAGTATAATGAAGCAATGAATATAGAGTTGAAACAAATTATCACAGTAAAAAGTTGTTAATTTGGAGATAAAGAGAATTTTTTTTTCAAAGAGGAAAATTGGATCCATACAAACAAAAAAATTTGCTGGCAGGTCAGGGCAGGTGGCTGTTGATAAAATGCCTGTCCTAAAACTACAATGAGTTGAATTTGATCCTCAGTACCCAGATGGGCATGGTGGAATGTATCTGCAACTCCAGCACTGAGGGGAGGCACAGAGACAGGCAGACATCCGGTGCTCATTGGTCAGCCAGCTAGTCAATCCATGAGCTCCATAGTCAATTCGAGATCCTGTCAGAAAAAAATAATAAGATAGAGAGACACAGAGGAAGCCATGGAGGTCAACCTCTGGCTTCTCCAGCCATGTACACAGGGACCTGCGCGCGCGTGCGCGCGCGCACACACACACACACACACACACACACACACACACACACACACGAGGCAGAGAATTCTTTGTGTGATGATATTTGCCTGTGTTCCCAAGACTCCACAGGCAGAGACAGAAGGATTGCTTCAAGTCCAAGGTCAACCTGGGCTACATAGGTAGGCTCTGTCTCTAAAACAGAACAAAACAACAAGAAACCAAAACCAAGAATATGCTATCAGAACCATATCAAACTACTTGATGATAGCCTAAAGTAGAAGACTGTAGAACAATGTTCTCCAAATCTCTAGAGAAAATAATTACCAACTCTTATTCTACCCCATTCCAACTATGAATGAAGGTAAGACAGTCATTTTTAGACATGAACTGAATATGTATCCATTATATCTGTTTTTTTTTCCTTAGAAAGCTACTAGAAGAATTATTTTACCAACATGAAGGAGTAAACTAAGACTTGGTAAGACATAGATCTAATTTCCTTTCTGTTGCTGTGATAAAGCACTCTGAAATCAACAGGGAGAAAATGATTTATTTTGTTTACACTTCCAGGTCACAGGTCATGACTGCTGGAAGTCAGGGCAGGGACTTGGAGCATAAACCATGGAGGAACACTGCTTGACAGCTTGTTCAGCCTCCTACTTAGCTGGTGTTCTTCTACAGCCCAGGTCCACCTGCCCAGAGAACAGGACCACCCATAGTGGGGTGGGGCCCTCCTACATCAATTCACAATTGA